TATTATATGAAACAATTTCACAACCATATATGAAACAAATTCATCAAAAAAGTATTATATGAAACAATTTCACAAGATTAAACAATTTCATGAAAAAATTTCATAAGATTAAACAATGAAATATACGTATGAGATGGTTTGTACGGTTTACACAAATGAGTGCGGTTTTCATAAGAAAAAAAATTGATACCAAATATATATAGCTTATAGAAAATGGTACGAAGAGTGTTATTGAGATTAAATCTCTTAAATTTTCTACTCACTACTTTTTTTCAATTTTCAAAGAATTCATGTTTGACTTTTCATATACAGGAATGTGAGTAAACATTTACCTACTTAATATTTTAGTTTTAAGTTTCCTTTTTATGGTTATTTAAGTCATAGATCTCATACATAACTATCATTTGTCGCTCAAATGATATGTTTAAGTAGTTCCACACCTTACAAAATAAGGCGTCGTAACATGCCATAACGTGTTGTAACGCGCCATAACGCATTACAGTGCAAGTCAAGTTTTAGAGCGGAGCCATGGGAGTTAACATGGCGGCGAATCCAAGCTTTGACACCGTAACCTGCCATAACGAGTTATTTAGAGCCATGCCTTTTCTTAATTATCTCATTAATATTGTTTAAACTTCCTTAATTAATCCATTTTCTTTCTGGTTTCACCTCTAAACTTTGATAATTTTTTTTGGAACAATCAATGTTCATATACGAAACAATATTATGAACTTTAAACAAAAATCATTGTTACACCTATGAACTTTCTGGTTTCATCTGCGAACTTTGGTAAAAATCGGAACAATCAGAGTTCAAGATGAAACAACATATGAGCTTTAAACAAACACTATATAAAATATGATTATTTTCCAATAATTAAGACAAACATCATACTAAACATCATAAAACATGATTATCTTTTAAAAATTAAAACAAATTACTCTCCATTTAATTCAATTTAATTTCTTTCTTTTTACTCATTTTATAAAAACTTATTTAATCATAACTGTTGATGAAAAAAAATGATCGACTCATGAATTTGTACAATTAATACTATTTATCTGGTTAACAAATGATTGTGTGTCTCTCTCCATATGTGTGTGACTATGTAGGGGTGGGTGATTGATATTAGGGGTGAACATAGTACGGTACTATGTTTATTTTCTAAATACCATGTACCAACCAATTATAATTGGTACGCAAAATTTTATACCATGTATCAACCAACTATATTTGGTACCAACTTTTTTTGGTTAATACATATTGGTACGGTTTTGTACCAACTAAAAATTGAAGTTACAAATGTATTTCCATTTTCATCTCTACCAACTATATTTAGATGCATTAATACCATTGATTATCCAAATAACATGTTGATATGTGTTGTACCACTTATCACTATATATACAAACATTCAAATGATTTTCATATAATACAGTTGTTCATTAATAATCTAATACAAACGACCGTTGAGAAACAACGATGGAATGTGGAGGTCTGAACGAGTTACTAAATTTGTTAGGGTTGAACAGATAAATTCATTCAAGTTTATCTATCCATCCATATCATAATTTAGCAAAATTGAAAATAAGAACATTTAAAATTAAAACATGTTGTATTATACTAAACTTTAATTAATAAATTGTTAAAAAATAAGTCGGTATGATATGGTATTACCATGGTACACAACTTCTAATACCATGATACAACCAAGTTTAAATAGTTGGTACTATACCAGCAACCAGTTAGATTGATGCTAACAGAATTGGTACCAATTAAATTGATACAGTTGGTATAAGAATTGGTTGGTTTGTTGTGGTACAAAACTGACACCCCTAGTTGATACGCGATGATAGAGAATAAAAGTGGATCATAATTTGGAAAATTTAAACTTTAGGGAAGAGCATAGAAATTATTAAGGACCAATTTAAAAAAAAAAATGAATAGATGAACCAAATTTGTAGTTAAATGATAATCCAAGGATCCAAAGAAGCGTTTGTCGTTACTCAATGAACCAAAAATGGCATCTAACTAAAACTTTAGGGACTATTTTTGGAATTCATTCTTGTTAGTATCCGAATCCAATTTTCTGCTCAATCTAAAGAGTAAAGACTACCTTCATTCGAGAGTAAACCCCAAATCCAATTTCCAATAGAAGCCATCGCCGGCGATCGCGTCAACCATGACAACGAGTATGAGCTTTGTCGTCGGCGTCATCGCAGTTCTCATGCTCTCACACGCTGCTTATTCTACTATTCAATGTAACTCTATGTTTTCCTTCCATGCTTTTAGTTATAATTGTAATCAATCAGAAACTAACATGTTTGTTCTGTAATTAGATAGGGCTTTGCTCAAGATCACTGAGGATGAGTTCTCCGGACCTCCTTTTGAAGTAATAAATCTCTTTCTCTGTGATTTATAAATGTATATGTTTTAGGGTATTTACGAGTCTAATTTTTTCTATTATCGTTTTGGGTTTAATGTGCAGGTGCTAGTTGAGTTGACATTAGTATTGATTTTGAGTCTGTTTGCCGGATTAACCGTGCCAGGGAATTTTCGTTCGATCCTCCCAGATTCAGATGAGAATAGGTATTTATATATAACAATGGTGTTTGATTTTAACCTTGGTGAACTTTGGTTCTTCAGATTTAGGTATAATCTTATTTCTGAACGAATTTAGGAGTATATTTGGTTCTAATTGGAACTTTTGAAATAAAGAAAAACCGGACAACCAACTCATATGCTGTTTTATGTTGATTAGATTTCTTCTTGGCAATTACAAATGTGAGTTTGCAATATAATAGGTATAAGGAAATTGAAATGTCTCAATCGTAGGTTCTTGGTTATTACACAGAAATCTTGTATGAAACACCTTGTCTGTTTTTGTGTAAATTGGTCTTCTATATCTTTGCCATTTCTTGTGGTCAATGAAATCGAGAAATAATGCAAGTTATTGAAGTCTGAGGCACATAAGTTGCATGAAATCAAAATTCAGTCACAGCTACTTGCAACCATCTATGACTAGCATATACACGGTCAAGGTTTTCACTAGCAATATAAGCAGCTTCAATTTATGACATTTTTGGAGCATGTTAGATGAAGATTGGACTCTGTTTAGAAGCATGTAAAAATAGTATTGTATCGCTCCACACTTGTGAATTCTCAAACTACTGCTGAGTAATTTACAGAATTCTCTAGCTACTTTGATTCAACTTCTATATGCCTCACAATGAAGCATCTGTAATTATGCTTGAATTTGCTTTACCCTTTGCTGATTTGTGGCAATGTTTTAACTAAAATTTACTCATAGTATCTTCACTCATTTGGTCATCATTCATTCTTGAAGGCTTTGGTCAATTTAACTGGAAGATTTATGTCTCTTTCAGAGTAGTAAATGAACCTAATTTTTTCCATTTAGGTATCATAGACCGAGAGCGGATTTGTCATCCCTTGTCTACCCTTTATTTAACAAATCCTAACAGATGAAATAGTCGTATTCATTGGTATTTGATCTATAGTGGTTAACAAGATTAATAAATTAGATGGAGGCACATAAAGGGAGGGACTCGAACCCTTGATAAGCAAAAAACCTACTTTCAGTAATGATATCTAATTTTACAATCTAATGGCATTTATACTATATTTGTTAGAAAGTTTTTATGACCATGTATTTTACTTGAGACTTATGATATGGGAAATCGTTCTAGTTTTCTTCTCTATAATGTGAGAACTATTCCACATCAGGATTTACTTGGTAGTTTTAATTTGATTATCATTTGTGTGATACGTCTTTCAATTGCATCTTGCAAGTATAACCAATGAATGGTTGAAGCCTTCGATATACATGCTCTAGTTGTTGATAGAAAAACTCAAAAGTTCACCATAATGGTATAATCCCATCACTTTCTTATTTTTTTGTCAGTTGAGTCTTTGAATTCATTAGAGAACCAATACCTATGTGACTATATTGTTCCAGAGTAGGCTGTGAATATGATAGTGTTACTTGTTATAAATGAAAGCATGTAATTTCCTATAACAATGTACGAGCGGCATTCAAGTAACTTGTTTAAATTTTCTCAGACCATCCCATTTTTTCTTTATCATTTATATTTTCATCTTCTAATCACTTTGATAAAATGCTCCTTGTATGAAGAATGAGGATAAATAAAATGTTATTGTCTACCATCTTACTACTTGTTTAATAAGTTTGGGAGCATCCATTGAGTTGAAACAACTCAAGTGACAATCTGTTTTCCTGGTCTCTCTCTCTCACTCACTTTCCCTCCTGTTCTCTATTGACCAAGGATTAGGAGTTAGGACCCAAATTGCAGGAGGCATTTATCCACAACTAATAGTCTAGTTCTATTCAGAAATTTGCCGCATTATGGTTACTCATGGTATAAGGCTATGTTTTCTGAATAATGACTAAATACATTTTTGAAATACCACTTGCAAAATGATGACCGGAAAATGGTAGTGACTTCCATAGTTTTGGCTTAATGGCATATGCTCGTGATATGTTGGCATAGTTAGCACATGTGTACCCTCATGATTTCACATTGTAACCAAATATGACTGACTTGGGAAATAACTACTTAGAGTCCTTTTAGGAAATTTGCAGGGCATCTTAAAAGAAGAAGGTTTTAGCGTCAATGAAGAAAAGAAATGAAAATGGAAAAAAAGAAATAAACAAAGAAGGAGACAAAGGAACCCCTCGTTTACTGCCTTGTATTGGATAGGAGAACACCCACAGACTCCATCGTGAAGAAGATGATTAAACTCTTTTATCTTTTCTCCTTCGCACTCTCTTCCAACGCTTTTTGAACACTACCAATTTATGGGGGTTTTACACACAGACAGAAACAACTAAGTAAATTCAATTATTTTAGTTTCTTGACGTAGTACTCGGTCGTTATTAATTAATTTTGATATCTACGTCCACCTACCTACATCGATGACAATGCTTGTGGTGGCTGCTACTGTTGCTAACACACCACAAAGTCACAAACCTCTACCATGATCCATGACCCACCATTACGAACACAACACTACTCATAATAGCCACTTTTACATCATTAGTCATGCCCAGTCTGATACCTGTAACATCACCCATATCACCAGCCATCTAACACCATCACATTGTTTGCACATTTACGATTGCCAATCATCCCACAATACACACGATTTTTCTTATAAACCAAAATAAATGTCCCGATCTTGTTTCAACTTTCCACAGTTGACACAGTTCTGTAGATCTGGTTGGTGATGTAAAATAGCACTAGATTAAAACTATGTTTTAGTCTTGGTGAATAGTTAATCATCACGCCTCATACTATGAGTGATGTAAATAGCACTACACTAAAACTATGTTTTAGTCTTGGTGAATAGTCAATCATCACGCCTCATACCATGACTGGTGAAGGTGACATAGTTTGAGTTACATCTGAACGATGGGTGCAGTTTCCCTAACAATAGTATTAAGAAAAGAAGAATTGTAGGTTGACCTGAAAGAAAAGAGCATTACATAAAAGTGAGGAGGTAGACAAGTTATTTTATACCCACTCAGAATTCAAGTGCAGTTTCTCATAGTATTTTGGTAAAAGTGCATTCACTCTGCTTAAAAGTGTAATACAACATTTCAGCTTCCATATTTTACCTCTGCACGAGATTCAACATACTCATTTTTACCTATCCATGTGTCTTACGTGCATTTATGCACTCTATACCTACATATGTAGGATTGTGCAAAGTGTCAACGTTAAGCCTTTTTTAAGTTGTGGATTTATCTCTAAGGGACAGAGAGGGAGAGACTCCATATTTTATGCTCTTCGCTGATGATGTATGCTAATCAATTAGACTAGACGACAACTAGAGCAGTGGGTACTCTTGATTCAGTGCAAAGGATTATGATGTGGTGAACATGGTTGGACCAATGATATCTTGCACTAAATTAGTTCAGCTTTAGTAGCTTCAGTACAATGTAGTATGACGTGGTGAGCATGGTTGGACCAAAGATATCATATCATACAGTAGTTAGGGTTGATATTTTGAGAGGATTGAGAAACTGATGATGGTGTTGGTCTTTGGATACGAGCATGGTGGAAGAAGTTGGGCCAAATAGTACATGTCTTAACTGACTACTGACCTTGAAATTCTGCAGCTCTTTATGGATGCAGGGAGGTCTGTTATGTGCTGATAAAGAGAAATTGACACTAGGAGACAGGCACACAAGATGGTGTAGAAGAAATATGAAATTTTAGTTGGATGCGTCGAGTGCTGATAATAAATATCGCTAGAACCCAAAGGATGTTTGTCCTAGCGATATCTGGGTTACCCATACAACCCAGCCTCACAGGAGGTCAAGGGTTCAAACCTCACCAAAGATGAGGAGTGTGCGTGAGTATTTGCCGTATAAATATTATATACTTGAAAAAAGAATACAATATGGCTAAGAATATAAACAAGAATATTCGGGAGAATGTTGGAGTGGCTCCTTCAAGAGAACTCGATGCAACACCACTTGAGATGGTTTTGTCATCTTCGATGTAGATCCTAGGATGCACCTGTGTCGAGGGGGACCTGTGTGTAGAGAAAGAAGTTTATAGCCATAGTGGAAGACCAAAACTAACATGGGAGGAGTAGTTAATTGAGATTTGGATATATCTTTGGAATTGATTTTTAATAGGAGGCCAATGGAAGCCTGAAAGGATACTATTCTATGACTTGATTAGCTCGAATCTCTTTAGTTTCACCTGTGTCTTGTCTTTTAATCTACCCTAAATGGTGTGGATAAAGGCATGCCATTGTTGTTTTCATTAAAGTATGTGAATTCTTTTATGAGCTATGAAACTAAGGAAATCGTTTTCTGAGGTGTATTAGAGAGTGCATAGTCTTGACCTCCAAATAGCTGCAAGTGCTTTGAACACACTCAAGGAGTCAATGGAGATGGTGTAATGTCCAAAGTTGATCCAGCTAGTTCAGACTGAAATGAGCATATTCAAGATTTGCCAACTATGCTGTTTTTTCAAAGTGATGGGACCATTTAAGCATCCCCTTCCCCTGAAATATTTCAGATCATAATACGTTGTTTAAGAAGTTTGAAGTGACTTTTATGAATTTTCAACCTAATCTTTTCAAAAATAACCTTCATAAGTTAGCTTACTGGCACACATAAATGTGCAAAAAAATAACAAGAAGCATCCTTGCATACCAACTGGACGAGGGGTAGCGCACATAGAATTCTGATTGCTTTGAAAATGATAATTAAAAAATATCCAATCATCCACGTAGTCACATATAGCCAGATTTGTACTCTATTATGTTACCTTTTGCACATTATGACCTTGATACACTTCCAATCGACTGTAAACTGGATCTCTAACATGAAAAGTAAGTCGGAGAATATTGTGTTTTAAGAACAAGGAGCATAGAATTTTCTCCTTTCACACCTGTGCTAGACTCAAACTGAATTTGCATCAACAAAATTTGCAAGTTTCATTCAACTTGGAAGTAATTTAAGTTGCTTAAAGATGGAATATACTCTTCCATTGTCTTTGTTCCTGCACTTCCAAACCATTTATGATGCTTATATAATTCTTAACTTAGAAACTAGCTTCTGATATAGGATTTCACTTTGATTCGGTATCGTCTGAAGCAGCAAAGTTGTAATTTTTGTAAGTTGTTGGTATGCAGGGTTGTATCCCTACCTTCGAATATGAACTTCATGATCTTCAACCATCGTGGAAAGGCGTTCCCTACAGAAACTGATTTGAAGCTCAACTGAAAGGAGCAGCCATCATTTGTAGTTGTGTAGTATCCATTCCATGGGATCTTAGAAGTACCCATGTTGGATTTAAGTAGACTATTTATCAATCTAAATTGGTTTTTTGTTTGATATTTGAAAAGATTTTGAATTCTCCCTTTTTGGTATTTGATATTCATTGCTTTCTTGATAGTAGATTGTTTTTGAGTCTAGCAGTCGGCATATGTTGGAGTTAAATACTTTATTTTGTGACGATATGAATGGATGGATTTTAAAAATCTTGACGTAGTGATACACGTAATGCTTTAAAATGTTAACCTTAAAAGTCACGTCTTTGTAAAAAGCGCACGCCACGGCGAGACTCAAGAGGCCATGGCGTGAGGCACGCCTTACACAAACACTACGGGCCTTATCGTAACGCTGGAGACGAGTCTAACGCCACGGCACACCTTACAATGGTATCAATCGAGCTTGAATGTCTTTTATATACATGAACGAGGGAGTATGCTAAAAAAAATCCAACGTAAACTCATCTTGCTTTCAACACAACCCATGTATGGGGGCTACTGTGAGGCTCCCAAAAGACCTGCATACGATCCAAGAACCAGCATCTTCGACCCGACTAATCCAAGAGGTTTATGTAAAACATATTTCCCTGAACCCGAAACTGTTTCATAGACAAACTCTTAGACTTTCTGACCAATAAACATGACCCTTTTAAGAGTTGATAACATTTCTAATATTGAAAATGGCCTACAGTGTGGTACAGGTTCCAAGCATGAACTAATAGACCAACCCCAACCCCAACCCCTTGGAAAAGATCCCATGGTTAAGTTTCAACAAACCCATATGAGATACTTCTATTTTTAGTTTGATTTGTAAGATCGGATTGGATTTGGAGGAATTTAAAATTGAATTCCATTTCGGTTGGTTTGAAGGATTTCTTAAATTTGAAATTCCGAGATTTTATTAAAATCCCACAAACATAGGATTTTGAAATCCCACATGGTTGGTATTTTCATGGGATTTCGTAGGATTTATATCTAATAATGGTTCAAATTATGTTAACAACATTTGTTTTGTAATAATCAATTAATAAAAAAATAATTGAATTATTTTTATAATTTTCTTATAAACAAAGGAACTCTATTCCATTCTAAATCCTACAAGTCAAACACACTGAATATTTCAAATCCTTCCAAATCCAAATCCTTTTACAAAATCCAAATTCCTTAAAATCATTCCCTCAAACCAAAGTAGGTGTGTCAAATTTGCACCAGGCCTTCTGATCTAGCAGTTTCAGTCCATCTGTTCTACACACACACATTATATATATATGTGTGTGTGTGTGTGTACACCAGAATGTCATTATGCATCAATTACACATATCACACAGCCACAAACACATAGGGGGATATCAATAGCATCTCCAATGCAAGTTTCACATATAGATATCAACTGTGTAAAAAAGAGCAAAAGAAATGGCTGCCTTTAAGAAAGCATGTGATTCCAGATAGAAAGTCACCATTACTATGACCAAACCCTAACTTAGGATATATCAATCATCCAGTCCAGATCACTTGAAATCAATCCATACACCTATTACTTCATACAAAAAAGATAACAAGAAGAAATGAGAATGCAAAATTGGGATCTTTTTAGAACTTAGAAGCCAATCTAGGCAACTGTTCTCACTTAATAGAAAATTGGAATGCAGAATGATGGTTCTTTGAAATTATTACTCAATATGATGGTCAGTCAAGCAATGGCACAACCTAAACTCCAAATAGACATCTTGTTACTGCAAATGCATAATTAACTCTCAGCCCACTTTGAAAGCAAGTATCAACTATTGTTAGCTTCAGCAGCATCAACATGAATTCATTGTATGCATATTAAGCAGCCATCTAAAAGATTTCAGGTCTGAACGTAACAATAGCCACTCTTAGTATAGTGTCAGCATGTGAATCATGTGAACAGATGAAGTACCATCTTAAATTCTACATCAAAAGGCCAAGTTTCCAATTAGACATGGGTATACGAAGTTTCCACATACAGGAAAATCAAAATTTATTGAATGGTGCAAGTTTCCACAAAGAACTCATGATCATACTTCACAAGAATAACAAAAGAAAAGAAGACAATCAGATAATCACATACATTTGCCTTCCAACCTAAACCTCAAAAGAAATAACTTGTTCACTTGTTGAAATGATTTCTTTGCATGATGAAGCTACAATTTTTATATCAAACATTATAAAAACTTGGAGGAATTTTGAAGGATGGAACTATGAGGAACTACTATAAAGATTCACACTGAGCACCTACATGGATCTAATTTTCAGCATTGATTCTTACTTTCTGAAAAAGTTAGATAGTATGTGTGTCATCAGGAGCAATTGAGTAAAATCATCTACAACTGAGGAAGGTCCAGTGGGTTTTCCATAGATTGTCTGAGAATGTATTCAGCTCTCCTCTTCTTGTCATCCATCATATCATCACGTCCAAACCATGATGAAATTCTTCCGGTACCCCTATTCCATAGTCGCAAATCCAATGAATCACCAATCATTTTCCTACCATTATTGAAGTTCAAACGAACTGCAGGCCTCTTGTCTGGAAGTTCTCTTTCTCCATTCTCACCCGACTCAGAAACACTACCATTCAACGCTTCTATGACAGGTGCAAACATCTCCAATATAGAAACATGGTTCTCCATATGGGGCTCATTCACATCTTTAGTTGGCAAAACAAATGAACTCCCATCTCCCTCCTCTCTATGTAGACCAGAAGCAAGAGACGGGTTCTCACTTTCTGCGAGAAACCTGCTTTTTTTACTCCCAGTAGCAACTTCAGAGGTCGATGGTACAGCTGAACCACTAGACAACAAACGCTTTTGTAAGCTTAACAAAGAGTTTTCCGCTTTCCTCCTCTGTCTAGCAAGCTCAACTTTATCCGACCTCGGATCCGATGTCCGCTCATTCCAGACAGGTGAATGAATATAAGTATGGGGATCTGGAAATGCAGGCAACCACTCGGGTACATGCTTGAACCCTGGTGTCTCGCCCATTTGCATGAAACTCGGTGTCCTTTTCCTATCTCTAACAATCGGAAAGCTAGGTACAGGCTGAGCAAAAGGAACCTCCTCAATCACTTCAACATATTCCATGATCTCCTTCATAACACCCGACCCTACCAAACTAGTACAGATCTCTGACCCACCCGGAAACCCAGTTGAAGAACCTAAATCCTCCAATCCTTGAATTACGTCGAACACATTGCATTCGGTCCTATTAGCCACATTAGCGTAAAATTTTGCAATTTTCCCTAAATCCCTCACGTACCTGATAGCAACACCGGCAAGAGCCTCTAACGCAGTATCATTGAAACTTTGAAATCCAATACGCTCACATATCTGAGCCACCGCCACTTTGGATATAGCTCTACCGAATTCATCCGAAGCTACCCGAACTTTCTTTTCATCGAACTCATTGTCCTCTACTCTACCTCCATTGTTCATATTCAAACCCTCGTATCATTAAGGGTTTCTCAATAGCAAAAATGAACTCCTTCAAGATCGAGAACTTGAAAGAATAGGAACCCTAGTAATGTAAATGAATCGCTAATATACAATATAAAATTGGATGTTGTTGCGTACCGTTTGCTTCGTGGAATTTGAAATTGGAAGTGAATTCTCCAAATTTCCACTGGAATTTGACAATTGCGCAATGAAATTAGCGATGTTGAAGATCTCAGAGAGATGGATTTCGTTCAGTCATTCATACATATATCTTTATAAATGTGTGATTTTGAATTATTTGATAAACCCTAGAAATCGCCCGGGTCTGATTGATGAATAACCAGGAGACGGGGTGTTATTTATAGAAAGGGGAAAATTACGAGTAAGGGCAATATTTATCGAAAAGACCATACTACCCCTTTTTATTATTTTATTTATAAAAAATATTAATTAAGTATTTGATTTGTTATTTGATCCGAAAGAATCCATCCATCATTTTAATTAAGTATTCATATATTTTCTAATTTCTTAAAAATACTTCATAAAAATATCAATTAAAATACAAAATGATAATATATATATAGGGATCAATTTAAGGAATAACTTATTAGTTTGTAATAACTGCGAAATTTAATCTCAACTACAATTCACTGAATAAATTAGGAAACCAATATTTTTGGTAATTTAACTTAAAATTATAATTAAATGGCATTTTAGGTATTTTAAATTTTTTATCTCTCATCTCTCTCTCCTACCTTCGGCCTCCAACGAATACCATGTGATATCCAAAATACACAATTATGATACCCAAAATATATACAATGTGATACCCAAAACATACCAAGTAAACTTTGAGACCACTGTGATACAAACTATGATACCACTATGATACTTATGTCGTATACAGTGTGCACAAGCTGGTTGGATCCAACCTATTCTTGAAATAAAATTTTCAAGTTCAACCAACCCATTTTCAAAATATCAAATCCAGAGGTTAATCGTACTCTGGCAACTTTACGTAAGGCAAAGTTTGGTCGAAATGGGTTCTTTACAAGAAAGAATTACTTCTACCAAAGAAGGGTCCATAACTTCTATCCAAGAAAGGGTTGGATCATATTTCTTACATTCTCATCAATTTTAAAGAAACTTGTCTAAAACTACCTATAGGCGGTAGGGGTCGGGTTATTGATGTGAGATCCATTCGAGGAACATTGAAGTAATGAGCCTCCCAATGTTATTGTATTTGTGCAGTGTGTATATGCAATATAATATGTGTGTGTGCAGTATGTGTATGTGTGTTGCAGGTCTGGAGGTTGGGTTGGAGAAGAAGGTTGAGATGGAGATGACCACATGAGTGGATGGTTTTCCCAGATGGAGAGTGATCGATTAGGGTGTTTGAGGGGGGATCGAGGGGAGTTTCGATGGAGATGGTGGTCAGTGACGGGTACGGGGGAAGGGAGATAGGTAGTGAGGGGGTCACAAAGACAAAGATGAGGCTAGCTGTCGGGAATGTTCACATGTGGGTGTTTAGTGGTCGATCATCAGAGACGGCATTTTGGTCAGACAAGATGACCGGATAAGGTCACCGGAGTGGTGGTGGATGCTAGAGAAGGCCACCGGATTTGGTACATGTGTGTTGATGTGTGTGTGTATATATACGTGTATTAAAATAATTAAACTAATTAAAGTAAATTAGAATATTAAACTAATTAAAGTAAATTGAATAATTAACACAATTTACTAATTTACCTTTTGTTCTATTTTAGTAAATAACATTAATTATCTAAAATGATTGACTCATATTAGAACTCACAATTACCATAAACTATCTAGTTCTCATTCAATTAGACCAATATATATAATTTGGATTGATGGTAGGTTATGGAAAAACTAATCCAATTTGAATGTTAAAAATTGGAATCCAACCGGATTAAGTTATATTTAAAAGTAGGAGTTAGACTTGAAGACCAAATTAGTAATGAATTACAAATTATAGGAATGAAACCACAATTTCTAAACCATAGGGATGAAAATCGTAATTGTTTATAAACCACAGGGTCTAAAAGCGTAATTTACACTAAAAATAAACTAAAACAAAAGGTGATAACAAATAACAAGAAAACAAGGGTGAAAAGTGTAATTTGGAAAAGATAAGAGAAGCAGATAAGCCGAGATAAAGGCTGCAGTCTCCCTCCCTTCATCTTCATCAGAAGCAAACCCTAGCGCGCAGAAATGGAGAAGTACTTTGGGAACGCCTACAGAGGAGACCCAGGGATTCCACACTGCGGCAAAGAAAATTTCCTCAGCATTTGGATTGGTTCACTCGCCTTCTCCGCCATCACTTGGTCCCATCCCTACATTTGGCAGGTCTCTAATCGATTCAAGTATGTACTCCAATAACTTATTTCAATTCATCTGTTCTTCATTTTAGACTTTCTTTGTCATTCTGTGTTTTGTTACTTTAATTGATCATAGAACGTAATTCGATTGCTGTTCTTTTCGGCGTTAATAGAGTCAGATCTTTGATTAGGTTTTTTAATCATCAAAGTTTACGGGGATGGTTCTAGTTCCCAATTTAGGGTATTTTTGTTCTTTTTTTGGGAATTATCTCTAGTGGTTTTGGTTCTAGGTTTAGTTGTAGAGAATTGTAGATGAAACATCCTTCAATCTTTACGATTAACAGAATTTCGACGAACTAAATCAATGCCCTCAATTTTTTTATACGATCATAATTGACAAATGAGTAATTTTAAGTTGAATCTTACAAGAATTGTTGCAGTTTTCACATCCCCAAAGGTATCATCACCATGGTAACATACTGTAACATTTCACTACTACGCATAGGAGTTTAACTGGCACTGGAACTTTGTTTTTGGTACCTCCCCCATCGCCCTTCTATAAATGTATGCATTTTTAGGAGCGAGTTATTTTGACGTAAGCGTGGTTTATCTATGGTGATTGGTGATATTAATGCAACAAATGTAAAAAATTTAGTCGATTAAAAAGATATGATCGATAGGACACGAGTTCTTACATATACCAAGAATGCCCAAGCACACTTTACCTCAAATCGCCACCATTCTACCTCTACATACTGAAGCCACTTTGATCAATCTTCCATTGTCTTTTTGTGTGATTTGCAATCACTTTTACACCTCAGCTTTGAAATTATGAATATCCCTCGGTGACAACTTAGTTAAGTGATCATCTGAAAAGGGTATGACATCACTCACTAGAGCATCCACCGTACCAGTTCCACGGCCATCAGGGACGTAAAATCGTGTGTTATAGGTACAGCTGGGTGGTGCCTGAATCGAACCCAAGACCCCTCACTCACTCTGCAAGAATGCCCACCATCTTAGCTGTAGAAACTTAGTTATATGCCTCTGTGAAGGTGTTCTTCTCCCAATATTGCAGTTACTTACATCTTAACATTGTCTGTTTTGGTACTGTAATGTTTAGTTGGCATGATCATGCGATGCTATATGAGCAATATCATTTGAAGAAGGCACTGAAAAAGAGACAGAAATACGAATACTCGGTATGTTTGGACAGTTAATATGTATATAATTTATATTTATGTAGGTATAAAGTAATATGTGGAAAATAAGGTTTAATTTGATTAATTTTGGTTGGTTGTAGTGGAACAAGAACTGGAGCAAAGCGGCACGTGATTCATATTACTACAACTGGCCTGTTTACTTCCCTTAAGGTTTTTTAGACCAGAATAAGTTCAAAATATTTGGTACTATTATGCTACTGTGGATTGATTGTGTTCAAAATGTCTAAGCCATGTGAGACTGCTCTGGCCTCAACCTTTGCTTCGTTATTCACTTCTGAATATTGTCATTTCCTTTTCTTCTTTACAACTCCCTCTCTCTCTCACTCTCTCTCTCTCTCTCTCTCTTTATATATATTATATATATATATATAAGAATAACCAAATGATAACTGCAAAAAAGGTTGAGAATGGTTTTTTTTCACCTTGTGAAACAATGTATGTTAGAAATGCAATGTTGTTTTACAATGTGAAATTTGATTGGCTGTTAATCTTTTTGGGATTTTCATTTGATTATGCCTTTATATATATGTATGTATGTATGTATGTATGTATACAAGGTCAGATTCAACGAGAAGGTGAGAATTTTCAATATCATATATGATTAAACGCATGATATGCATGCTTAATCATATATTGTTACATATGTTGCATTGACAATGCATAGCTTCACCAACTCACTTGTTTCTCTTTTGGGTATGTTTAATCATACTCTCTCCTTCCCAAAATAAATGTCTACATTTCTATTTATGGTTGTTTCAAAACAAGCGTCCATTTTTAAAAGTAGATAACTAAATTCTTAAATTTACCATTAATTAATGCACAAATGTTTAAGAGTTTTAAAGAGGGAGAAATTAAATAAGGGTAAAAATGTCGTTTGATTAGCAAAAAATGTGCAATTATTATTCATATTTAAAAAGTGTGTCATTTCAATTGTGGACATTTATTTTGGGACCGGTGGAATATATGATTAAGCGTGCTATCACCAATATCATATATGTTATTGGAACTTCTTCTCTTATCGCAAATTGATTAACCTCTCTTATGATCTTTTCTTGTGTGTGTGTGTGTATATATATATATATATATATATATATGTAGGTGGAGTTTCAAATGAGAACATATTTATTTTACAAAAACGAAAGAGCACTCTTTATCCCATGTGATAATACACGTGAAAGTGCATGATATGCGACGTCCTGTGATCTAGGTCGTGTCAAAGGTTGTTCAAAATGAGAAAGTTTGTTGGGTTATATTTTGAACTTTTTCCTTTTTCTAATAAAACAATTTTGAAGGTTGTAAATATATAAAGTATAATTTTGGTAACTTTTTAAGCTTCTTTGTTTTCTTTCAAATCAAATTAAAAGATACACGAGTTGTTTCAGATAAAAACTTTGTTGTACAAAAAATATTTGATAAAAAAGGATTTTCTAAGCATATCTGTAATGCCGCACGGCATTCAGGTTATGTCTATTAGAATAACAACCCGTAGTCTAGTTGAAACCCTCTTTTACAAGATTACARACTAAAATGACTCGCTTTCTTTCTGAATCTGCTTTCTCTATTGACGTATAAGAGTCTCGACTTTTCGAACCAGTGGAGCTCGATGAAGAAGTTCTCGCCTTTGCAGAGGTGGTTCCATAGACTCTCTACTTCGATGGATTTAACGGGTTCTTTTTCAAGATTGTTAGAAAATAATGCAAAGAGCCGACCCACATCTAAGAACACGCAAAAAAAACTTATCGATACCTCAAACCTAATTGAAGACATGTACAAGTTAGAATGAGCTTAGGGTGCGTTTGATTCGCAGGAATGTTTCTGAGGGATTTGGATTCCCAAGAGGGATTTGGATTCCATGAGATTTGGATTAGATTGGATTTAAAATTCATTCATGTGTTTGGTTTGCAGGATTTGGATTTGGAGGGATTTGAACTGTACATGAACTCAAACCATACAGAAGCCAAATTGAACTGTATATGAACTAAATATGTAGAAATTGACTGTCACTTCCACAACCCTGTAATTAGCTAGACTGAATTCCTAACGTTAATTTGACTGAATCAGTTGGGCCAACATGCTTCTTACTCAGTATTGGAATGAAAAGGGGCGAAGAGGAAGAGAGAGCACATTCAAGAAAAGGGGAAAAGGGAAGTCTTTACCTGCTGAGTGATGAGAGAAGGCGGCAAAGAAGAGGAGAGAGCACCGGCGAGAACACCGACGAGAGCACCTGTTCAAGCGGGACAACGAGGACAAAAGATTACCGGTGAGGAGGAGAAAGCACCGGCGGGTTAGGGCTTAGGGCGGCAGGAAGCGAGAGGACGGGAAGGGAAGTGAGAACGGAAGCGGGATCTGGAAGCGAGTCGAAGGGAAGGATTTCCAAATCCCATGTTTAAGGGATTTTAATGAAAACCTGGGATTTCAAATCCTGACCATTTTGCCAACCAAACACAGGATTGGAATGGATTTTAAATCCAAATCCCCCCCAATTCCATTTCATTCCTGCAAACCAAACGCACCCTTAGCTCTCGTGGCCGGGTTGGAATCTTGTACCTCTTTGTATGGTTTCTAATTTTGTTATATTTTCAATTATGTAAGAATAAAAAAGAATGCAATTTAAACGAAAATAATTGTATGAATTTTAGATGTCAAAGTTAAGGCATCATTCGTAAGCAGTATACATTTTCAGATCTTATTTTGATGCTTAAAATTTTATAAATTAAAATTCCGATCCTTGTTACTAAAATTTCTGGACCCATTACTAGCAATTCAAACCAACTTAGTTGCACTACTAAAGACTAAAAAAAGCATAGATTACGAATTTTGTCAACATGCCTCACTAAAGATTGAAACCAATCGAGACCAGAGGGAAATTGATCAGAACCGATGACCCCTAAGGTTGAATCCTGACATAAAGTTTCGACTTGAGCAGATTAAGCAAGTAACAATAGTAGAGATGAACCTATCATCCTTATTTAAAAAACAAACCTTATCTGATAGACCTGCCTTAAGAACAGAGACAGACTTAGAAATTTCATTGAGTGGTGCACAATTTGACTACAAAACAAACCCACTGAAATATTTCATAATATTAATATAGATTGGTTGGTCCTTATCCTTATGTAGAAATGACCCATGCTCGAGTTTAGGTTGTAAATTTTTTTCTAAAACATATAAAAAAACACCAACATTTAAGCTGAAAATTAATTTTTTTGATAAAGGTGACTCGAACTTGGGGTTTTCATTCAAATTGAACAACTTTTACCAACTGTACCATCAAAGATTTGCATCAAAGTTTCAGTTTCAAAAACTATTTGATGGTACAAACCAAAACACAAAAACATGATCTTTTTCCTGTACGACAGAACCATAAAACAGTGTCGTCTGTGTCACCGTATTGGTGTATGTAACCTAGCCAAAGAGCAACATTTTTTTTTTTGGTCTCTCTAGAATTTATATTTTTAGGAGGACTCATCAATGATAATGAATAAATATCGGGCTAGATTTGTATTTTCCTAGATTTAAGTAGCAGGTTTTGGCAATCTGTTAAACTTGAGGGGCCATTACTGCTTATTTGTCTTTGCATGATTCCAGAGATATCCACAGTGAAGATCGTCTTCTGAATCCTATCCAGAAAGAACACCATTTTTCGGATCGAACTGATTCATAGTAACAATGGCGGTTCTTCTTCAACTTCATCCTCCCTTCCGATTTCGAAATACTTCGAAGAATTTTACTCATTTAGTTACTACCAGAGCATCATCATCATCATCATCATCTGTATCGAATCAATCTCTTTCGACCCACAAATCATCAGATTTCGGCCGATTGGTTTCTAAATTTAAATCCAATTCTCTGAGTTTTGCGCTCTCGGGAACCCTAGCTCTCGCAGTAGCTCTTTCTGGTATGCATTCATCTTCGTTTTACCTTTTCGATCGTTATCTAAATCTCGAACTCTTTTCTGAGTAAACGTTCTATATGCAAATTTTGTTTTATGTCTAAGGAAATCTCACTGTAAGAAAATTTGTGCAACAGCAGGTGTGTGACATAGTCAGTCCAAATCATTAGCATCGGATGCTACATGTTTTAGTTAACATGAGGTTTAGGCGGATAAGATTTTGGGATTGTGTTAATTTCATTAATGAAGTTTGTGACATCCGGCTGCAGCGAAGTTAATACTGACCTATATGTTTTAGTTGACATGGAGATTCTTCGTTGCTTTGGGTGGGGGAATTCTAGGCTAACAGATTGAGCCGCAGCAATTTGGCCAAATATGAAACTTTCGTTTAAAATTTAGTCGTATGAGAGTGGATAGAAGTAAATACATTTTGAGTTCATTTGATGTATTTCTTTTGATTTCTCTAAAACTATCACTTTGCTTTGAACAAATTTTTACTGGATACTTAAACGGAACAAGCATTTAGCAAATTTTGTTGATGCATACTAGCAGTATTAATCTTCATTTAAAAAGCCTGCTGGATCGTGTGTGTATATATATATATATTCCTTTTGAATCAACAGTTTTTTAGTTTTATAAGCTTGTTAGGAGTTGCCTTTTGTTTTCTGTTTCTTGAATCAGAGTGCAGAGCATAAAAGAACAAAAACATAAACTATGTAGGAGTTGGATTTGCTGAGGCAAAAGTTGGAGTTAATAAGCCTGAATTACTTCCCAAAGAATTCACAACAGTTATTGATGTTGCTGGGTTCCTCTCAGATGGTCAGGTAATGTTCTTTGTTGTTTAACTAAGTTGTACCATATCCTTTGCAAACCTAGAGATATACCACCATTTTGGCATCAAGTTCAAGTATGTTAACTTCTACATTAAAAGTGGACACATCGAATGTTTGTTTGAGAATTTTAAGCTTCGTTACTAGGGTGATGGTATCCCTTCTCATCAACATGGTCTCGGTGTTTCAAAATGCTAGTCTTTTAAGGTCTTGATTACTGGTTTAGGATACTATAGTCCATCTCTATTGTTTGCAAAATTTTGTTGCATGTCTGCCCTTGTTTCAAAATGCGAGTCTTTTAGGTGATTCTCAAATTTTCTTCACATGGAGATAAAGATAGATTAAGGGTATTTAAAGAGAAGTGCTTTTTTTTAAATGGATTTATCCCAAGTCGCGACAATAGGCTTCGCCCACAGCCCTGAGGTAAATCTTCCGGTGCCCCACAAACGCATATGTAGATAGCAAGATTCAAACTCGAGTTCATTTAATCATCTCCTTATCTCTATCCACCACGCTACCACCCGTGTGGTTGAGAAGTGTTATCTGATTGTTAATAGACTAGCCAAACACTCAGCATCTTGAAAAAGTTGAGAAGAATTTTAAAATGACTTGACATATTGGAAGAGAGACAGAGAGAGAGAGAGGGAGTTTCAATCAATCTTGGATTCCTAAAATGACTTTTTTGGCCTGAATAGGCCAGCATGGCATTAACTTGAATAACAAAGCAGACATCGAGTAGTTACTGGATTACCAAGGTGTGTATGAGGATTTAAGAAACTATGCCTTGATAGTTAAATCCTACTCTTATGTTATGAGATTCATGAAAGGGTAGTAAATTACCAAATGGCTCACATCAAGTTTTCCTTCTATTTCTTTAATATTCCATCTGGAAGATGATTGTGAACATGAAAGTTTCTTGCATCATCTAATCTTTGAACATCAAGAGTAAATTTGAAGAATAATCTTTTCAGGAGAAAAGACTTGCAAAGGAGATTGATTCTATTGAAAAAGATACAGGATTCAAGTTGCGAGTTCTAGCTCAGAACTATCCTGATACACCTGGTGAGCTAATTGCCTCGAAGACATTAGTATTTATGATCATGCTAACTTAATCATGCAAATTTATCGAACTTCTGCAGGGTTGGCAATCAAAGATTTCTGGCAAGTGGATGACAGAACTATAGTTTTTGTTGCTGATCCTACCTTTGGTAAGGATTTCATCTGCCATATCCTCCACCCGTTGCTTCTTCTAAAGTATACATTATTTCCTGGCTAAGCAGGGAACATTTTGAACTTCAATGTGGGTGAGTCCGTGGATTTAGATATACCACGTAGCTTTTGGAGTCGGTTGGCAGGGAAATATGGAAATATGTTTTACTGGAAAGAGAAGGTATTGACTAGTTTTTCGTTACCGAAATAGAGCAATAATTTTTATACTAAATGGAATTGGAACAGGGAGAGGATGCATCTGTTGAAGCTGCAGTTATGGCAATATCTAATTGCTTAAGAGAACCTGTGGGAGCAAACAATTGTGCAGAGGTCAAATAAATGGCAGGTCATCACAATTCATACCATGAACCCAATTTACTGTAAAGATTGTATATCTTCAGAGACAAAAGCTAGCTAGCAAGAGTAAAGCCATCTAATGTTCGTTTTCTCTATATATATTTGAGCAAAATCGCTCCAGAGGTCCATTAATTGGTATTGTTGGTAAGTGTGGGTGTCCCGTAGTCAGCTTGTGGGCACCTCGACTAATCTCATGAGCCTCACAGTCAGGAAAATCCCTACTGGCCCTAAAGAGACTAGAAGTAGTGACCTATATTGACGGAACCCTTAAAAAATGGTCATTTTCTCAATTTTCTTGGCATTAATGGTTAGTTTGGCGGAGAACCCTTTAGAACTACTAAACATGGGAATTATTCCCACTCCCTTTCTCTTCCTTGATACAATTCATGTAAGTTATTTTATGTACTCGATTGGATCGCCAACTAAATGACTGCTCTGTGATCAAGGAGGTAGGATGCAGATTGTTTCATGTGTTTATCATATGTTACAATTAATGTGGAATGATCTTTTAAAATAACCATTTACTGAGACGTTGATACAAATTTTATCTACTTGACTTGATGTGAACTTGATGTACTTCCAAATCCCCTTAGAATCAAATACTTGGCTCAACATCTATCCTGAGTTCGAATGCAAACGCTACCAAAATCTTTATGATACCCGATGATAACTCCAAGCCATCTGTGGTTGTTCAGGGATTAGTTGGTGCGTGTAAGTTGATTTGGAATTCAACGGTTATCCAAAAAAAATATCAAAAACACTATACAATAATAAAATATTTTCACTAAATTTTGTAGGGGCGGAACTATGAGATCTCGTTAGAGTTTTTTTGGGGAAAAGTTGGAAAAACCCAACGAAATGTTTCATTTTAAATGATCAAGTCCTTAAACTATTTTTTAAAATAAAAAAATCATTAAATTTTCTAATTTTGAATGATTAAGTTTACAGACTATTTTTTTAAATGAATTTTTTTTATTTGAATAGCTAAGTCACTGAACTTTTTTTTTTTTAATAAATAAAACTATTGGACAAATTATTTACATACAATTTTTTAAGTTTTAACAAACAAAAGGTTTATGTACCGACTAGAGGGTTTTAAAGTAAAAGAACATATCATGTTGTTGGCTTTTGCTATCGAAAAGAGGGTGATGGATGGCAAATGCCAACAACATGATAGGCAATATGGAGAACACCAAAGGACAACGATGAGGCGACAGGGAGCGATGCCATTGTTTGCGAGAGGTTTGAATGGCGTAGGGTTAGGAAACAATAAGACTGATTTAGGGTTCTACTTTAAAACTTTTTTAGTCGATTACAGGTAGTTTTTTTTTTGTTAAAATGGTATGGGTAACCAATTTCTAATAGTTCGATGGTTTTATTCATTACAAGAAAAATGTTCAATGACTTAAAATAAAAAAGTTTAGTGATTTTTTCGTTAAAAAAAATAGTTCAGGTGCTAATCATTCAAAATTGCATTTGTTCTACAAAAATACTGAAATTTTGGTACTAAAAGGGTGTTTGCGATTGCTTATTTGAAACAACAACTACTTTTCTAGAAAAACACTTATCAACTTATTATAAGTCGGAAGGGTTTAACTTTTTCAAAAACTTCTTATTATCGGTTTGACATCAATATAAGTTATTTATCCAAACACTCAAAAATGCTTATTACCGATAATACACTGAAATAAGTCATTACGTTGTATTTATAAACAATCCCAAAACACCTCCTAATATAAATTGATTGTATTAAAGTAGTTGAATATTTTTATAAGAAAGAAAAAAATAGAGGAAGAATTGTTCCGTTTCCCTCCACAAAAAACGAATCGACATTTCTAGTAGATGTCTCGTCTATGGAGTGAGAGTTTCTGAAAATGGCAGCAGAAAGAGTCATCATGACACTGAAACCCCAGATTCGTTGGAACCATCTACACACATTACGGAATCATCATCATCGGAGTCAAATTGCAAGACGATTCCCCCAATTTTCATTTCGTCCTCTAATACCTGCTCATTTTCATCTTCCGGTTCGCCATCCTCATCTCCGGCCTCATCCTCTTCTGCTCCCATCTCGTCCTCTTAATATGTCGTCTTTAGCTTCCCCTGTTTCTCCACCGGATTCATCAGCACCCATTGAAACGGTAAAAAGTCCAATTTCTGTATGATATCTTTTACATGAGAACTGATCCATAGCCAATGTTGCTTAAATTAACAAAAGAAAAATAAATCATATGAAGCAGCCTTCGACGGCATAAGTTAATGTAGCGGATATAAATTTAACTTTTGTTGTTGTGAGATTGTGGTAGATGAAAATCCCATGAGGATCTGTTTCCTTTGTATATGTTTTGATGAGGTGGATAACACAGTTGCGGTGGCGATTACAGGTGAGGGTGATGATTAAGGGTAGGGTTCAAGGGGTGTTTTACCGGAACTGGACGGTGGAGAATGCGCAGGAGTTGGGTTTGAAAGGATGGGTTAGGAACCGAAGGGATGGTTCCGTAGAGGCTTTGTTTTCAGGGAGTGCTGATAAGGTTGGAGAGATGCAGGAGCGGTGTCGCAGGGGGCCACCGTCTGCAGTGGTTACTGGGCTCGATGTGAATCCTTCCACGGAGGATCCAGGGACAGGGTTTGAACGCCGGTCAACTGTTTGATTAAATGCTTAACGACTCTAAGGCAAGAAAACATTATACTCCTAAACCCTTTTGTTATTTTCTATCCTGTTATTGCATTATATTAGGAGTAAAATTGTATAAATATCCTGTGTAGATGCCTGCTTGTTTAAGCATCTATGAAAATGCTTATTTTGAATAATGTAAAGCGAGCGCTTTGTGGGCTTGGTTTCTTCTGCTGCAAAAGTGAAATATTTTGACTTATAAGATCAACCTGACTTATAATTAGGTACATTTGGATTAATAGTTGACGGAATTGGAACTCCTGTAGAGCTTATAGTTGTGGGTGTCTTGATCTTCTGATCATGCTTGGTTCTCTGGTAGATATTTTCAAATGAGCTAAAACCTGGTGTGGCTGCAATCAACGAGGGTGCCTATATGATGGTAGAGTGTCACAATAACCGTTTTCTTGCTGAAATAATGTAGCTGTTGTAAGGGCTTTAAAACTTGCCAAACAAATCCGCAAATGGTTTCGTAGATCCCAAACTACTGAGATTCAAGTGCAAGTGAACCACAAAGACAGAAGCGTGATATCTAGGGTCTGACAAACTAGTAAATGGCCATCCTATCCAAGCATATAAACCAACCGCAAGCTAAATCAAAGGCAATATAACGATAAACAAGCTAGTGTAGTAAAACAAGTAAACAGGACACGAGATCTACGTGGTTCTGCCGCAGTTAGGTACTTTACATCCACCCCAGATAAAGAGATTATTTGTATTGATATACCATAAGGAGTACAAAGCAACTTACAGTGGAGATTGATGACCCAAAACTAGTAGAAAGCCAAATGGAGTAATCTCCTCTCTTTCTCTCTGGCAATGGTAGAAGCCTTGAAGTTTTTCTCAAAAAGCTTAAGCAAAACCGAAAACGGAAGGCTTATATATGGCAAATATGAGCTAGGGGGTCCAGGGGCCAAAATGGGTGAAAACCCACCAAAAACTGCCAAAACAATCGTCCAAGCAGGGCCCTGCTTGGCTAGTGACCTTGATATGGAGGGTGCCAGGCTTGCGCACAAATGGCGAAGGTCGCAGATGATGTACCTCAAGTTCAGGCCTCAGGTGGCCTATGCGGCCCTTGTACACGAGGTTGGCAGGGTCGCATAGAAGGGGGGGGGGGTGTTCCAGCATCTGTTTTGTGCAGCAACAAAAATCAACAGCTGCAACCAACCAGGATGAGTATAGTGTTGATGATAAAAATGAATTACCTTTCTGTCGTGTAAATTATGGTAGAATGTTTTGATGATCATTCTTACGGTGTTAGATTTACACAATGATCCTTTTTACATTGACAATGTTTTGCTGCAGTGTATCTTGCTACTATATTTTCAGGTCTCCTGGATTCTATATACAATTTGCTACTCATAATGATTCTCCATCCATAATGCGATTCTTCAGTTGATAGCTCTGGCTTACCATTGTCGACAAGCGAAAAATGCTTTTTTAGCTACCTCAAGATGCCCGTTTTCTTTTTTCTCATTCTTGTTTTTGTTCTTAAATCTTAATATTCACATTTGAAATTTGAGTGGAATTGTATACTTATAGTTGACTAATAAGTTTAACATTTAACAGTTATGGATAAGTTTTGTAACAAAGAGTAAAACACTTATGGATTAGTCTAAGGATACTTGGACAATCTTCATGCATACACTAGATTGTGGATTAGGATCTTTATATATTTGTTTTTTCATTTATCTTATTTATGTATTTGCATAATAACATTTAAGAGGACCACCCTAAACCCAAATTTTGGCTCCGCCAATGTGAAGTCCAATTGTAATCTACTAACCTATATTCTCCACTTCTTTAAAGTAGTTTTAGAATATCACATATTAATAATTTTGTTTTAGTTTCTCTGTCCCACTTCTTGCTTCATCTACCATTTTTGAAACTCAATCTTCTGGTCTTGTAACAATGGACACAAAGAGTTTGCACCACTTAGTTCTAGGGTATTTAACACCATATCTGGTGTTGCTACATACTCCCTGTATAACTTCAGGAATTATGCTTGACATTGGATCTCTGTAAACTCAAGTTTATCTGGCTAGATGTTTAATCACCACCATAGGTTATTATGTGAGTGTGTTTTTCAAATCATAGCTGCTGCAAAAGTTAAGATTACAAATTTTTATCCTTGTTAAGTTGTTACCATACTAAAACCTCCTGGAATTCTTTCATCAAAACCTTCACAATCTCCCCTTATATGACCACTAAGCTCTCTTTTTCTAGGTCCTCCAAGATTGTCTTTTGACAGATTCATTTAAGTCTACCCGAAATGTCACTCTATCAACCCCGTTGAGGTGGTAAATCCCAAAACTTTCGATTCACTCGTGGGATCCGGGCGGTCCGGGGGGGACCACCACTGTTTCGGTGCGGGCCGCGAGAGCGGTACCAAATCGAGGCTCCTCCTTTCTTTAATATCCAGGAGGTCAAATTCAGGTGAAGTCGGGACCTAAAAGATCGAATGGAACAGTACATAGACAAGTTTTTTATTTGATCAAATAAACTAACTCTCTTTATAAATTCTTCTAATTTTTCTGATAAGCTCACACTAACCCGTCAATTTAGGATCCAATTCGAGATTATTCTGATATTCAAATTCAATAGAGATGAAATTGGAATAGGGGATGAACTGGCAGAAGCATTCACCTCAACGGATACTTGGTCTTGTAACAATTGACAAAGAGTTTTCACCACTTAGTTCTAGGGTATTTAACACCATACCTGGTGTTGCTACATACTCCCTGTATAACTTCAGGAATTATGCTTGACATTGGATCTCTGTAAACCCACGTTTATCTGGCTAGATCTTTAATCATCACCATAGGTTATTATGTCAGAGTGTTTTTCAAGAAAGTGTTTACAGCCTACAAATCATAGCCACTGCAAAAGTTAAGATTTCGACTTCTTATCCTTGTTAAGTTGCTATCATACTAAAACCTCCTGGAATTTTTTTCATTAAAACCTTCACAATCTCCCCTTATATGACCACTAAGCTCTCTTCTAGTAAGTTTCTGGCTAGGTCCTCCAAGATTGTCTTTTGACAGATTCATTTAAGCCTACCCGAGGAGCAATGTCACTCTATCAACCCCGTTGAGGTACTCAATCCCAAACCACATGTTGAGGCTATAGGGGTTGAACTGGCAGAAGCATTCACCTAAGGATGAATCACCTGTCCCACCATTAATTCGGCTAACATGATTATATCCACTTTCTTAATCTCAACTACATTGTTTAGGCTCTTATTATAACAATTCCTGTCGCATACATAGTAGTCCTATATTTTTATTGAATACTTTAACGAAAACACACTCTCAGTTTACTTATATTTTTCCCTTGGAGTTGATAATTAATGCTTTCGGTTCATTATTTATTTTGTAGTTTGTTGTGGATATGAAGTATAACCTGGAACAACTTATATCCAAGCTTTTGTATTTTCTGTTGGCAACTAAAGATTTTCCAAACAAATAAACAATTGTCTTTGTACTCTAGGACAGACATGTAAATTTGAATTTATATGTTCCAATCAGGACAGTAAATTTTTCGGATTTATGAAAATGCATTTGGCCTAGCGTATCTGGTTTACTGGTAGAGCCCGGTTTCCTAGGAGGTCAGGGTTTAAACCTCATCATCTTGGTGAATAATCTCTTTAACATTTATTAGTGTTACTGTATAGATGATTTATTTTACATTAATACTATCCATCTGCAGTTCAATTTCATTTAGCCATGATATTGGTATCTTGATGTTTTGACCATATGATACTATTCATCATAGATAATTGCTTAAGAACTGTGGGATTGGCTCCTCAGTGTTCTTGAAACTGGGTGATTGTGTGGTCAGATTCCTTGACTTTGTGCCGCTCGCGGTCATACTAAAAAGGCAAAATTGTTTTAGGTTCTTGAAATCATTTGTCTTTTGGGTTTAGTTATATGTTAAAAGTTAGGTTGGAATATGTGAAACAATTTGGCATTGATGCCCTTGGACTGGTGTTTTGATGGTGTAGGTTTCCTTGAACCCCTTTTTTGTTGTTTGGCATCCTGCAGGTTTTTGAAAGATGTTATGAGATACCATTAATCTTGTTTTCAAAGATCCCTGAGATTGTTCATTTTCTAGTCCTTATAATTTCAGATTCTTGCATGTGTTGGGACTACTTAGAATTTGACTTGTGAGATCTTCAGCAGATTCTTGAAAATGGAAAAAATGGAGATTTTGGACAAGTTTTTGCTCTAATAGATTCTGCAAAATGGAGAAAATAGGACAGAGTGTAAAATTCTTCAAATTTAGAGAACTCCAAATCGTTATTAGAAGAGACGAAACAATTATGTAGTTAACTAACACTTTATAAAAAACTCATGCGAGAATGTGCCTCAGGATTAAATACTCGGATGAATAACATTCAATGAAAACCTTAACCTGAAAGGTGTAAGAAGAATATGTTTCAAGTTTTAGTCTATTTACTTTTTACATATAATCAAACATGGAAATAAAATTGAAAGAGTAGAACGAAACATGAAGCAGGATTAAGTATTCAAGTTCCAAGTTTCAAAATTGAGATTGGATCACGTTGCATTGTGTGAATGCATTTTTAGCAAACTAAAATATGCAAAATGTTAGTGTATTTAGCGATAGTCTAAAAGTAAGAGACCATGAAAACAGGTTCTGTACAGTATTAATGCAATGTTGTTTCATAGATTAAATGTTAAACTATGTTTTCCATATGAAAAGAAAACACAAAAATGCGTTTATACATGTAATAGCCAATCATACGCATACACAAGAAAAGAACATGTAAACAAAAAGAAAACATGTGAAATAAGACAAATTATAGCTTAAAATCAAACTTATTGGATGATTTTCGTTGACTTTCACATATTTGGTTTTTGCATGTATTGTTTATCTGAAGTAGTGCATGAAATTGTTTTTATATATGTGTGTGTGTAGAGGTTCAAACGAGAACACCGTTATTTTATGAAAACGTGATAATACACATCTCATATGTGAGATGTTGTATAGGGACTAAATAGCGTGCACAACTTGTCCCCTGACATTGTTTATCATGTGTATATCACTTGTTTATCACATTTGATGTTGTCTGGTTCAAATATTCTCGTAAATTAGTACCATTTTCGTTTGATCTTTCATTATACACACACACGAAAGGTCGTGTAAAAATAGGAGTTAGGGTGAAAAGTGTGAGAAAGGATTGGACCCTTGATCACTTTTAATCTCACTCACACCCATGAATTACAATTCTTATCAGAATTGATCTGGTGCATCTCATTAGCGTTGATCTTCAATTAGGATTGATCCAAATATGGAGACCCCTTCTTACGTATAACTTTTGTCTCACGAACATGCTAAAAAGGTTAACTTGTGAAACAAACACATTATAAAACAAATATATGTTAATTGATATTCTAAATTCTAACCTCAAATAGAAAAAAAAAATAATAAAAAAATTACACTTGATGCACTAAGTTTCGAAGTTATTATAATTTCATCGATTTCTAAAAGAATGTCACCGAAACTAATTTACAATAAAACCCGTAACACAATTGCTAAGGAGTCCATTGATAAAATAACAAGTTGTGAATGAATGTTAAGATGGTGTTCAACTAAAACAATCATCATCATGATCATCATCATGATGGTATGATGATGTTATGGGCATGCATGTTAGACATATATAAGAAAATGGCGATAGCATGGAATAAAGTCAAATGGTCATAGTCAGAGCTGAGTCAGACCATTGCAATGTCATCAATCTATTTGGTCAAGTGTCCATTGTATCGAGGTTGACATGTACCATCATCCCAAATATTGAAATAGACTACAGATTTTTACAAATTAATTGAAATATTTATTAAAAAAATTAAAAAAAAAACCTAATAAATTTTTTTCGTTTTGAATGTTTTGTTCTTTAAAATGTTTTTTTAAATAAAAAAAAACTATTAAATTTTTTTATTTTGAATGATTAAATATTTGAACTACTTTTTTTGAATTAAAAAAAATGTTAAATTTTCTCATTTTTTGATTAAGTCCATGGAAATTCTTTTAATAAATAAACTGCTGCACTTTTAAAAGTTGGTTATCTACATCCTTTTAAACCAAAAAATTCACATTAACAGACTAGTAAAAGTTTGATGGTTTATTTATTTATTTTTATAAAAACCTAGGGTCTTAACTTATACTATATTATAAAGCATTTGATAAAAACTCTTAAAAATATTTTTTTATGCATAAAGTACTGTTTATTAATGCATATTACTTAAAATTCAAGATTACGAGTAGAATGTGCATGAGTATATCTTATTAAAGCTCCATGAATGAATTTGTGTAACTAATTGCAGATAAACATAATCAAATACATTATTTTGAATATAAAAAATCTAAAATATAATTAAGATAATTATTGAGTTCTAACAGACATACTTAATTATTATCTTAAAAGAATTATTTTATTAAACAAAAAATAAAGTAGTTCGTTTTTAAACTTCAATTAAATTATAATAAAAATTGAATTAAAGAAATCACACAAAAACGAGAACCTTTAAATAGTTAATTTGATACCAATAACGATTATTTTTTAAAAAA